AACTCCAGAGGCCATTTGCAGGCATTGCTTATTGTTTTATTTCATGTTGAGACAAACAGAAGGCCACAGGCTGACGTGGACACCCTCAAATACTTGATGGATGACATCACAGGTGATTTGTGACCTTTGTGTGGTGAAAAGCAGCAAAACGTGCCTTAACCCCGTAAGCACAGACGGTAATACATACCACTAAGCAATCAGACGGCCGCAGTACGTGACCTCTCCGAATTGGCCCAGCAGCCACTTACAACCAGCAAGAATGCGAATCAAAACCACCCAAAAACAAACTGACCATCAGTCCGGGGTCCAGTCACTCGCTGGCTACTGAGTGTGGGCAGTGGGGATGCATGGGTGTTGCCCTGCTACTGCTGGAGATCAAGTGGCGGTGGACCTCTGGAATGCCAGTGGCAAGGATGTGGGCGCCAGTTCCCAGCTGGGATGCCCTGCCACGGCAGTGGTTCCCAGAGTATCAGGTTCTGGGAAACCCCCCATGGATTCACATAAGAGGATAGCTGGTGCCAAACCTCCAGCCACTGCTCCCCTAACCCATCATCTCTCCTCATTGTGTAGGAGGATGTCAGAACACGTGGCCCAAGTGCAAGAAGTCATCGTCTGGGTTTTGACTACCACTGACAGGTTGACTGTAACACCACATCGCTATGAAAGATAATCAGTAACTATTTTGATTAATCATTCTGAATTCTGAACTAAATGTAGTTCAAGCTTCATAGATAGGGAAGATTTGCTGCTTTTCCTTATCATATATGTTAGCAAATGAAATATCTTTTAGTTGGTCAGACAAAACAAGACATTTTTACTATTTTGACATTTATTAGATTAAATAATTCATGGATAAAATAATTTTTAATCAGATTAATCAATCATTCCAAGACAAAACCTCAAAATATTACTGCTGTAACACATGTTGTGTATAATATTAACAATACCTCTCAGGATTTAAAAAAAGTACCATTTGGGACTTCAGTAACAGCAGGCTGACCCATTTTTTAAATTCACATAGTCAGCACAATTTAACACGCAAAATGTCAGGTGGATTATAAAAATGACCACATGGGGACCAGGAAAAAAACACAGTTGGACCACACACACACGCACAGAGTGTAAACTGCTAGTCATGTGTTGTAGTGTATACATAGTGAGCTTTGTGTTGTTCTGCTCGGTTGTGCATAGCAGCCTGAGAACACGGTGGCCCAGGGAGCTCCAGCTGAGCTCTGGTACTGTTGTAGCAGTGAACCTGCAAATCCACAACTAGGGGGTCAGTCTCACACACAGCAGCAGCTCACACAACTCCTGCTCGGGGAAACTCCACAGTCAGTGATGGATTGTGGCCTTCAGGAGGAATTCACACTGTGTAACTGTACCAAGTCCCTCCTGAGCTGTTCTCCCAGTGGTGATGCTGCTCTGCCTCCCTGTGTAAAGGGTGTTTAAGGGCTGTGATATATTATAGTATGCATAGTGTGGCACAAGATGATGGGCGGCTCTCAGGGGAACAGCACTGCTTCCTGTTGCTCTTATAATCCCACCTGAGTCATTACAGTGACGGTGGAGCTGTCACATGTTAGCTATTAAGATTATACTGTATAAACAGTGATTAAATACGCTGTCAAATATTTGTAAGGCAGCAACGAGAGGTTTCTAAGAGTGTTTTGTGTGTATATGTTCCTGTAGCTGCCACCTGCTTCTCTTACTTAGAACTTCCCACAGATTGTTTTCCTTTAGTTTCCCCCTCGAGTGACCACACCAAGATTGTGACACTGACTTTAAACGTTGGACAATCTGGATGAGGTGGAAGAATTTTGCAACATACTGTACAATAAAACATGCCCTATGAGTCATTGCCTCTCTTCCTGTCTACCCCCCTATTACAGTCTCTGAAACACAGAGCCAAGAAGCAAACTAGACAGACCGTGGGCCACGTTATCTTGGCTCTCGTAAGGAGCCAAGTGTAGCTGGGAGAGCAGAGCAGAGCAGTGGTGCAGCTGTGACGTGTATGGCCTGTACCAGAAAAGAGTGTAAGTGGCACATCTCACCTCGATTATTCATCCTTAAAAAGTCTTGTAAACATAATAAGTCATCCACCAGTTCTCTATTTGACACAAATATCTTATAACATGGATATCAGACATTAGAGAAACAGACGAAAAACTCACAGATGAATCTTTTCGAATGGGTCTTCTGTGTCTGCGCCTCCCTCTGACCAGTGTGTCCTTCTGCTGGCTGCGGTCGTCCCGGCTGAGCTGGCGTACAGAAGTAGTCCCTTAAACTCCTGCCTGTATGACCCTGAGAGAGTGAGTGGGGAGACCGACAGCTGGAGCAGCTGAACACATGCAAAGGGTGGGAGGGAGAGAGCAAGAGACGGAGAGTAGAGAGAGAGAGGGAGGAGAGAGGGACAGCCCATTCTTACCCCCCCCCCTTCCCTCCCCTTGGCCCCCTGCACTGCCATCCTCCACTCTACGAACCCCCTCTCCCTGACCCCCCAGGATGCAAATTCCTGGTCTGCGGCCCAAATACCAAAATTCCAAATCCGTCCAAATCGCAGGCGGAACAACAACTCACAGATTCACACACTTGCCCCCCCTCCCCCTCCCCATCTTCTTACAAAATGCCCCCTCTTGCTGGTCCCACAACACACCTGGTTTCATTTAAACTAACCCCACAAAAGCCCCAAGCTCTCCCACCCTTTCCTCCCTCCCTTTTCCCATTTACCCCCCATCTATCTATACTTACCTCCCCCATCTTTTTTCCTTTTTTTTTCCATAAAGCGACTAAAGCCCTCGCTCTCGTCCAATCTGACATGCAGGATATTTATAGCCAGGGAAAGAGAAGTTAATGGAATGTGGACAAAAATTAGAGAGTGGAAGACCGAGAGGGAGAGAGTGTGGAGACTTGTTTGGAAAATGTGTCATCTTATTCTGCAGAATAAAGTGGTGGCGTTTTTCTGGGATAAAATACAGAAAAATGAACCTTTTTCATTATTCAACTCATTATTCTTGACCGATACACCAACTTTGCTCTTGTTTGTGCATGACTAATCCATTATTCCACGTGGAATCATTTCCAGCTTTTTTGTTGCAAAATTTGTAGTCTGTTATGTTGCAAACTGGATAAGATATTGCTTAACGCACGTTAGTCTACGTTAGTTCAAGTCTGACTCAACTTAGTGTCAAACTTTGAGGTCACCCTTGCTCCTCTCACTAAATAAAAGCCCCTTCAAAATTAAACGAGCAGCAGCCACATTACTATAATTGCAGGCTTCATTCCAAGATACTGTAAGAAATATAACACCATTACAAAATGATTGCCTGTACTAAAGTTTACAACCAAATATTCTTTAGTAGACACACTAATCTTCATATTTTTAGAGCGCAATCATGCTATTGTTTTAAATTACAGGAGCAATTACTGTATTTTCTCATGTTTTTTCGAAGTAAATTTCCTTTTGAATCTTTTGGTTCAAACACCTTTTCTTAGCCTCAGATTGTTTATCTGCCCTGTCTTTCCGGGGGGTGGCAGACATGGCAGCTGTCATTACGGGGGATGTTGTTAAAAGTCACACTGACAACCCCCTAGCTGGACCAACTGTGCCCCCCCTGGTTGGTCCCTTATTGCCATGACCACACACAGACACCCCACACACACTGGAAGAGGTCTCAATTCATGACACATGTAATCTGCTGGCGATATTTAACATCTAAACACTAACACAGTTTATGCTCTATACTAAGTGCAGACTGCTGAAGCAGGGCTTTACAAATGTGCCATCTTCACTTTAGCAGTAAGTATTTATATCTCCTTTCTCGCTGTCTCTAATCTCCATCGAGTGCTCTAAAGATCAGTAAATCTTGTCTCTGGAACGGGTTAATGATAACATCTCTCCCATATAACACAGCAGATAAAACGATAACATAAAACAGAATTGATGTAAATGTGTTCATTTTATTTACAAACCAAATTTACAGACACTGCGAGGACAACTAGAAGTGCAAACAGGGAGGCTGAAAGCGATAATGGGGCTTGAGAAGCAGAATTCATCGCCGCTGACGAAACAAAACACAGAAAGCACAAACCGAGGGGCTAAGATAACGGCTTCAGCGGGGGGAACAGACAGAAAACAAACCGAGGGAAGGGCCGGGGGTAGAGAGAGAGGGGCAAGCCGCAAAGAAAACACTTCAGTCGTGATACATTTTGAAGATACAGCTTTTGATGACGCCCATGTATCTGTCCCACACAACCTGATGTCTGAGGGTCAGAAAACAGAAAGAGAACAAACTGTAAGTGAATGGAGCAAAGATGTACTGTAAGTCTTATAACAAACCGTTATTGTGAAATCTGGGTGAAGAGAGTAAATGAGGCAATCTTTGTCCACTGAGTGTAATAAGGTGGGGTGTCTATGTTTCTTTTTATGAATATCTCTTTGTTAAGCATGTAGTGGTGCAGGGCTGTGTAAACCCTTAACTACATTCCAGAGTGTTTGCATGAGAAACAAGGTAACTACAGTTTAAGAAATCGGGGCGAGATAGGGTGACACCCACTGGTAGAACAGAGACGTCAATATTAGAGAGGATTTTAACATATGACTTCATGCTCGAGCAGCATTTAATGACTGCCAGAGTGTATATCATTATTCAATTACTGGTAAGTTTTCCCATGACTGTATTTTTAGCATGGGTTGCCCCCGGATGGCCTCTGATAACCTAAGCAGAGTTGGTGATACGCTTTACCTGATAAGCTTTGCAGAATAAAAGCACATTAACTCACTTGAATGTGTCAAGTATGTGTGCAGAGTTGGTGTAGTGAGTGAGGTAGAGTTTCATATCCGCTGCTGTCCATCTGTCCGAACGACACGGCTCAATAAACTAGGGGAGAAAAAGGAGGGGAGGAGACGTTACATCACACCGTCTCAAAGGCAGACTCCAAAGTTGGCTTCAGAAAAACTGGCTGAATGCTTTGTCTTTCCTTAAAACACTTTTATAAAAAGTACAAACCTTTTCCACAAGATCAATGAAGAAATCTCTGACATCTTTTGTGTTGGTTAACTTTGCAGCGATATTAATGAGGCCTCGGGAAAGATTCTAAAAAAAGAAATTTGAATACATTTTAAAACTTCTATTTCCTTCCATTGTAGAAGTTACTGACTGATTACATTTAGGATATTACAAAAAATGTTTCTCACCTTGAAATTAGCCTCCATCTCATTAAAAGCTTTAGTCTTTCCTCTGAGAGCTGTGCAGACCAGACTGAACCAAAAGAAGAGAATGGGAAAAGATAAGTTATAAAAGAGATGTGTGGATGAAATTATAATTAAAATCCAGTCTGTTTTTCGGTAATCAGCAAAAAATGTGTATGTTTCACTGTGTTTCTGTTACCTTTTGTGTTGATCCAGCAGATCTTTGTCAGTGATTAAAATCTTCAGCTCTTTCAGCTCTTGTAAAAACTCTTTATCAAGATCCACGTCCATGTCTTCCACCATATTATCTACAAAGAAAACTCAGACAAATCAGTTTAAAGGATGTTTTTTCTTATTACTATTATCACTGATTATTCTTTTTCTTACAATTATTCAGTTATTATGGCATTACTCAAATTCTAACCCAATTAACATTTTTAACTTATAATTTTCTAATTGGTGACAAATTTAACATTCATCTTCATTTTAATGAGGATCTGCAAAACCTGAAGGACCTCTGGTGGTCAGTAAGTCTCACTGAAGGAGGCTCTGACTGTTCTTATTCATAACAACCAACCATAAACAGAACACCTCTTGTTCCTATGGCAAGACATTTTTTTTATGCCCTTTTTATATTCAGCCTCACAGTTTCTATATATATATATATATATATAGTTATCTCTATATAATAAATGTTCTTCTTGGATTAAACACAAATATTTTGTCACTCTGTAAACATCCAACTAGACATTAACATAATAATTCCAGTTGATTAATCAATCGGTTACATAACTGATTTAAATGCTGTGTATGTCTCTTACGTCTCAGATAAAAATGGCAGGAATCCGCCAAAGGAAATAAGAATAGTGGCTCACCAACGGCACCAACGGTCCAGTTGTTGATAAGCTGCCCAGCACAAAAAGCAAAGTCCTGGAAAGTAAGATATTGCAGCTTTCTTTTCCCCGTCTCAAAGCGATTATTGGCAAAGAAAACGATGGCAGCATAATCCCTAAAACAAACAAAGAAGGCATTATAAGAGCTAACAAAGAAAACAGTACAAGACAGTAAAATAGAACTTTTAATATCCTGAACACTGATCTTTTCTGGTGCTGTTTTGTTAATGTTAGTTAACAAAACAAACCTACGTAGTAATACATCATAAAACCTACAATAAGTCAGATATGAAGTAACACCAATGTTTTGGAAAATAAACCTGAGGAAGGAAGGCGCCTACTTTGTTCTCCTCACTGATTACCTTGCAAGCTTATCAGAGAGAAGGAAATGCTGACGTATGTTCTCCACCAGGGGTCCCTTCAGCTCTTCCACAACTTTGAAAACACGTTTGAAGTTGTCAAACTGAAATTAAACACATGACTCAGGGTTTACTAAAGTACTAAAAAACACGACTTGTATAAAACCTGCCAGAGTGCTTACTCTGCAGACATTCAGCTGCAGCTGCCTCGTCACAACTAATAAACTGAACCCACTGCTAGAGAGATGTTGCACAATAAAAGATGCTAACTGTTAGAAATTCAGTTTATTGCTGAAACTCAAAACAAATATAAAGTAACTATGGTAAACAATAGCCAAACTGAAGGTCAGGTAGGACCAATTTCACAACAGAAATGAGCAAAGAAAGCATAAAATACTAAATAGTGACCACTGACCATTTTAAAACTGATAATACAGATGAATCATTGTGGTGTTCAGAATGTACATACCTGCCGTCTGCAGCTCTTCAGTGTCACACCTGTCTTGGCACCGATATCGTCCAAGTCTTTCTTAGTTCCTTTGGAGAGTTTCTTTCCTAAGACCTCTCTGACGAACACATCATCAAAGGCATAGTATCTACACAAGGAAAAACCGATGGGAAGAGTAGAAACATATCGTCATTTACTATGTCACACTGTGGTAACATCTTCCTTGAGAGGAGAATAACCTGGTTAAGAGAAATACACCTTTTACCCTTCTTACACCAAAATTAGCTCATATA